ATCTGGTTCTATCTGAAACACGTTCTTGGGAGCGTTTCCCAAGTGACCTTCAAGGTGTGTTGGTGATCTCGCTTTGTCAGGGCAAAATGACTGTGGGGAGGAAGGAAAAGCAGCAAATTGCTACCGAAGTTTGGCTTTGCATGGACTATCAAATTCTCTTGGAAAATGGTTTTGCCTTAGTTTCGCCCGGACCAAAGCCACAATGTCAGCAATGTCAGCAATGTCAGCAGCTCTCACCTCAGCTCAGTGTGACGGGACCACCGAGGGAGAGGTTTGGTCCTTCCCTGGAGCCAAACCAGAGCACAGCAGGAGACTGTCCCTTGTGGTCCTCCTTCCCTGGGGAGGAGGGAGAAGCGGGGGGCAGTGCACAGGCTCGGCCCGGCTCTGCTCGGCACGACTCGCCTAGAGCACACCCGGAACACGCCTAGATCACACCTGGAACGCACCGGGAACGCACCGGGAACACACCGGGAACGCCCCCAGAACTCCCCGCTAGGTGGCGCTCCAGGCTCGGCCACGGCGGCGCTCCCGGGCCGGGAGTGGGCGGGGCCTGTTTCAATGGGCGGGGCCATCATAGGGGTGGTTCTGTGGGCGGGGCCATGGCGGTGGGCGGGGTCATGGCGGTGGGCGGGGCCAGGGGTGCCGGTGCAGTTCTGGCCCCGCCGGGACCGGCCGGGACACGGGGACAGCCCGCAGGGCCGCGGTCCCGGAGCCATCCCCGAACAGCGGGGCTTGGCGTGCTCCTCACTGGACATCTCCCCTGAGCCCGCCCGCCCCCCGCACTGGTTCCGCCCGGCACGGCCCCGAGGCCCCGCACTCACATTCCCCGCGGGTGCCCGCAGCCCCGGCCGCCCCAGCCCCGGCCGCCCCAGCCCCGCTCCCCCGGCCCCGCCCCGCGGTGCCCGCCCGAGCCCCGAGGCCCCGCGGGAGCAGCAACTGGGGCCGCTCCTCGCTGGGCTCTCGCCGGCCTGGGAAAGTGTCAGTGGGTGGCGGAGCTGGAACAGCCACTCCCACGGCTCCCGTCCAAGGCCGTAAATGCGAAGGTGGGGAGATGACAGCGACTGAGGAGCATGAGGAGGACGGGACACCGTGGTTACCCCACCTGGTCCCCCGTCACCCAGCCCAGCCAGGTGACACAGATCAGCCCCGGCGCTGTTCCAATGCCAGGACTCACAACTGACAAGCCCGAACTGATTCCCTGGCAGCCCTGCTTTCCCCGTGGTGCTCCACACAGGACTAGAGCAGATGGAAAACAAGTATTTGTACAGTCTAGAACACGGATCTTTAATGCTTTTAATAAAGAAAACAATCTTCTAATTCTCCACTTGAGCCCACTCCCCTCTCAGACTTGCTTGGTTTGTGTTGCCCCTGGCCATACACCCCATGGAGTTCCAGCTATCTGTCCTGCAGCCTCAGGACCTTGGAATAGTTTCCCTCTTTTAGAAATTTCCTGAAGGAATAATCGAGTTCTGTTCCTGGGAGCTTCTGACACTTGGCAGGATACCTCGGAAGGATAGCATTCCTCTTCCCTTGATGAATCTTTCGAACGCTTACACAAGAGATCATTAATGCACGATCTGTACCAAATTCATCAAAGCAGGAGGCTGTGATTACCTAGGAAATGTCAGACAACTATGGACAACTTCTGGAAAGCTAATAGACAGCAACCTCTCTGCCGTTTTTATTGGAACACAAGGAAATGGGCTGCTTTGTAAGACACGAAGTCACCTCTCCCTGTCCCTGCTCAGACTGACAGCCCACATCTTGCCAGCAGAACTGCTCCAGCATGGACTCCCTCTGCCATGCAGGACAGAGACCGTGGCTTCTGCTCTGTCACTGTTCCCTTCCACGGGCCTTTGTGTGCTCTGGCTCTACCTCCTTTCTTTCCTTTGCAGAGCCCCAGAGTGGGTACTCTGACCTAAAAATTTGCTCTGGAAAATTTTCCGTGTGGCCATGGAAGGTATTTCGCTCATGTTGTCCCACCGGTGCCAATCTCCAGGTGTCGTCTCCGCGGCTCTCGGTAGGGCAAAGAGCAACGTGCAGATAAAGGGGGATTGAGCAACCCAGCGCTGCAAAGGCCAAGCCTGCTGGGTCAGAGGTGAGCAGAAAATCAGCAGAAGACCAACAAAAACCTGAGCATCACCATGTCACATGGGAATAGGGTGAGGGAGCATTCGGGGGGGAGGGTTCTGGTCTGTAACAAAAGAAGCGAAGGAGTTCAGGAGACAGGGCCTGGGACTGCCTGGGGAGCTTTGGGCCCCGGCACTGCCAAGCAGAGCATCCAGCAGCAGATTCAGGAGGTGGAAAGCGTGTTGCAATCGTTTTTGATGCTAAAATGAAGCAAAGTGTCGAGACTGGTCTGAGAGCTGGGGCAGACGGAAGGAGAGCCAACCTCTCTTGGAGTTGAGACATTGTCCCCCTCTGACATTTTATAAGTACTGGTGTTTTACAGCAAGTAGAGAGCAATAGATTCAAACCTGGCCTCTGCCAGGTACAACTTGTGAGTTGCTGGCGCATGGTGTGAGGCTGAATAAAGAGGGACCTGGGGCTAGGAAAGGAAAAGAGAGCACTTGCCATGCTCAGAAATAAATTTCAAATTTACTTCTCTCTTTTGCAGCCTTTATTGCAACACTACTTAAGTCAGTCTTTTAGGCAAGGTCCCTTCCTACCCCCCAGAGACCTCCCCACACCACCTCTGTGCTCTCTTCCCACACCACCCTGTTTGCTCTGGAGCCCCTCACTTCTTCTCCAGCTCCCCTCCAACACACTGCCCACAGCACCCCAGGCATTGCTGCAACTGTCAACTTCTGGCATCACCTTCCTTTCCCTGTGCCCCAGCTCTGCCCCTCTTGTGCTGTTCCAGGCTGCAGCCCTGTGGCTCAGCACCTTCAGTGTGATGCAGCTCTGATCTTACTGACCTGCTAAGAGCTACTGCAAGGGAAATAATAATAATAATAATAATAATAATAATAATAATAATAATAATAATAATAATAATAATAATAATAATAAATGGGACAAAACTGCACCAAGAAGCATCAGAAGTTTCAGCCAGCCTCTTTCTACAGCATGATCCTCAGTCCATAGACCTTCTGACAAACACTTCAGTGTTTGAGCCATCACCACTAAATTAACAGCATCCCCCCAAAACTGGTGTCATTCCAGGGACAGCTGCTGCAGACCTGAAGTGCATGAAGTAGAAAGCTTGCAAGAAATCCTGGAAAAGAAGACAATTTCCAGGAAGAGAATGCCTCTGCAATGCTTTATTGTAGGTCCGAGCCTGGAGCTGGAAAGCTGTGGCTTCTACAGTACAAAAGGCAAACTGGAGAGCAGAATTTAATTCATGACAGAGATGAGCAGTGAGGATTACATTCTTCCCTCCACCTTTTCACCACACTGGTCTCCTCCTGTTCCTCTCCTCATTTCTGTATTGTTTCACCCATGAATGTAGAGGAATCTGGATGCTATTGCATCAGATTTTTTTTTTCCTCGAAAATGTTATGTTCTGACTGAGTAATTTGTGAGTTATGCTGTCTCCTTCCTCAGCTGAATAGTTCTGAAGAAAAAATTCATGAAATCAGTAGTAGGAAGGAGCTTTTCACAGAAGTTCTGCTTTTCAGTCGAAAATGGCTCTTCTGGGAGACAAGCTGCGGAAGGGCTGCTGCCAGTGCCTGGATCCTTTCGCCAGGAATGTCTGCATCTCTTTTCCTATCTAAAGCATCTCTGAGGAGGTTTTCCAGGACAATTATTAGCAGCCTCTGCACATCTGGCCAGGCCAAGCCAGGCACTTGCAGGGACAGAGCTTGGTGTGCCCAGACCTCCTCTCAATCCTGCGGTGCGAGCCTTGCTCTGCACCTGTTCCCATCTCAAAACCCTCACTTCTGGCCATGCATTTGTTATGACAAGTGCAGAAACAATTTAAAAGAGACCAGAGTTAGCTCAAAACCTGCTTGCCGAATGCTGGGGTTTTGGATAAGTGGTTAGTCCCGCCAACAAGGTTCCCATGAGAAGCTGAGAATGGATGTTGGCTACACGAGAGTGGATGTTGGGATTTGAGGTGAGCTGGAGGAAGTTTAAAGACATCCAGGTACAGCAGGGAGGTGAAGGGGAGAAGGGAAGGAGGGGACAAGCTGGGCATCCAACCTGAATTACCACCCAGCTGCCATGTGATCCCGGTGACTGCGGGATTACTCAGCACTGGCCGGGAAAGCAGGTGTGGGCCACACCATCCCTGATAGAATCTGTTTCACATGACAGTTGCACAGGCATTTTATTTTGTTGGGGAAGACCAGCCCAGGTGGGAATACAACTTTCTGCTGGAGAGCAGCAGAGAATAGGGCAGAAATTCGAAGAGGGCAAATTTAGATCTCCAAAAATATCTTGAGAAGCTGTTCAGGAATTTTACCAACCAGTTTTAGCGTTTGATTTTAGCCAACGACTGGCCAAGAGAGACCAACCGTGCACGTAGCAGGTCACCACGCAGGAGACCTTCTGCCTGTGGGTCCCTGAGACAGTTTGGAGGTAGGAAGCACATGAGACTGATTTTAAGAGTTCGGTTGGAAGGGCCAGTTAGGGCAGCCGCTGGATGTAACTGCCAGATCAGAATGCAGGATAAAGGTGCAGGATGAGGGAGTAAACAGCCAGAAGAACAAGCCCCGGCTCACTGCAACTTGCCAGTATTTGCACCCAATACAGATGTTTGTATTTATGAAGGTATGGGCTCCAACTACAACCTCCAGACCCAGCTCTCTGGCCAGGCCCAGCTCCAAGTTAATCTCTGGTGCATTCACCAAAGATTAACTTGATAGATAAAGGTGGAACTAGAAATATTTGAGGCTCGAAAACCTGTTAGGGGGCTTTTGTTATGGAAAAAAAAATCCTATTAAAACATGAACAGAAAAAGCAAATAAAAAAAAAAAGTCCGATGATCCACTGAGTGATTCTTGAATTCTTCCTCTTTTCAGAGTTCTGAGGTTTGAACATTAAGAACAGTTGACTGTTTGAATCATATAATGCAATACCTGTTCCTCTGGCTTAACGTTACAATATTTCCCACACCGCAGGATTGCTTCACATTATTCTAAGAGGCAGTGTCATTTTCCCTGCAGTGCTGGGTCTTCTTTACTGAGGCGAGGACACTCCTACTTCCTTTAATTATATGTTTTGTTTTAAATTAATGTCCTTTATTCTGGGGATGAATCACCAGCTTGTAGACAGGTAAATGTGGGAGTAAGAGAGTGAAAATATAAGTTTGATTCCCAAGGTGGGTGTCTTTAATTAAAACGGACATCAAGATTCAGTCTTCCTTCCCAAACTTACCCCACAGATTGAAAAACTCTGGGCTCCACGTTCCCCTGCACGTCTCTCACTTTCCTCCTGAGCCACGTCCCGCCCGGTGGGTCCCCTTTGGTTTCATGTGTGGATCCCCTGTCCCGTCTGTACCCTCACAGTTGCACCATATCCTGCAAAGTAAATAGACCAAGACAAACTTTCAGGGCCCCGTCCCTGCACGAATGCTGGGGAGGGAGCGCTGGGTTCGCTGCCCTGTGGATGTTCTCAGCGGCGAGGAGGGAGCCCGGGGCAGTGCCGTGCCCTGCTCCAGCTCCTCATCGCTCGGCCCAGGGCTCGCTGCTGGAAAGCGGTTCTGTGCACGTCCCTGGGGACACTTCTGCCTGCCAGTGGGATTTAGCAAAGCGAGCACGGGATGGAGAGTAACGGGATCCGTCTTTGGTTTGCAGCTTTCCCCCTGCTTTGCCAAAAGAACTTGGAAAAATCTCTCCTGCCTTGATTTCCCCAAGGGTAAAATGAGACCCGGGGGGATCTGTGCCCAGTCCCGCTGCCATCCCCGGGCAGTGCCCCGCTCTCCGGCGTCAGAGCGGAGCCCAGGCCGGCTCGGCGGGAGCAGCAGCAGAGCCCGGCACACTCGCGTCCCCGAGGCCGAGCGCTGACCGCCGCTGTCCCCGCCGCTGTCCCCGCCGGACCTGGCCGCGGCCAGCCCCGACCTCCCGCACCTGCAGGTCCTCAGCCGCCCCTCCCTCCCTCCCTCCCTCCCTCCCTCGCCGGGTGTGTTGTGGGCGGCCCGGCGGGCACCGCACCGCACCGCACCGCCGCACCCGCCCCAGGAGCCTCCTCCGGGGCCGGGGCCAGCAGTTGCCGAGCGTGCGGCGTGGCAGGCGGCCAGGCGGTGACGCGCCTGTTGCTATGGGATCCACCGCCCCTATAAATAACTGAGGAAAGGAACTTTCCTAAGTCAGAGACTTTAGGACACGGGACCCAGAACCAGATGGTCCGGAGGAGACGCGCCAGCCCCCGCCGCAGCTGCCGGAGCGGTGAAGCCCCGCCGCGCCGCAGGGACTGATCCAGCCCGGGTGGGCAGCGCCGCGGGGCCGTGCCCACGCCAGGGACTGCGGCAGGGTCTGGAGCCCCCCACCCCGACGGCGGCAGCTTGACCCTCTGCCGGGGGGGGCCCCCTGCGTCGTTTCCTCCTCCCCGCATCCCCCTTTGCTTTAATGCAACGCCTGGTGGCCTGGGACGCAGCATGCCTCCCCATCCAGCCGCCCGCCTTTAAATCCATGGAAGTGGCTAATTTCTATTACGAGGCGGACTGTCTGGCTGCTCTCAACAAGCTGCACCCGCGGGCGGCCGGGGGCCGCTCCATGACCGAGCTCACCGTCGGGGACCACGAGCGAGCCATCGACTTCAGCCCGTACCTGGAGCCCTTGGCATCGCAGCCGCCGCCTCCCGCGGCAGCAGCAGGGGGCAACTTTGAGCCTCCGTGCAGCAGCGGCGCCGGCCAAGATTTCCTTTCCGATCTCTTCGCCGAGGACTATAAAGGCAGCGGCGGCAGCAAGAAGCCCGACTACACCTACATCAGCCTCGCCCGGCACAGCCACCCCTGCGCCAGCCAGAGCCACAAGCCGGGGGGGCTGCCGGGCTGCTTCCCGCCCCAGATCGTGGAAACCAAAGTGGAGCCGGTCTTCGAGACCCTGGACTCTTGCAAAGGGCCCCGTAAGGAAGAAGGGGGCGCCGGGCCGGGACCGGGGGGAATGTCCTCGCCCTACGGCAGCACCGTGCGCTCCTACCTGGGTTACCAGTCGGTGCCGAGCGGCAGCAGCGGGAACCTGTCCACCTCGTCCTCCTCCAGCCCCCCCGGCACCCCCAACCCCTCCGAATCCTCCAAATCCGCCGCTGCCGGCGGAGGCTACTCCGCCGCCCCGGCGGGCAAGAACAAGCCCAAGAAGTGCGTGGACAAGCACAGCGACGAGTACAAGCTCCGCCGGGAGAGGAACAACATCGCGGTGCGCAAGAGCCGCGACAAAGCCAAAATGCGCAACCTGGAGACGCAGCACAAAGTCTTGGAACTGACGGCCGAGAACGAGCGGCTGCAGAAGAAGGTGGAGCAGCTCTCCCGGGAGCTGAGCACCCTCAGGAACTTGTTCAAACAGCTGCCCGAGCCGCTGCTCGCCTCCTCGCCTCGCTGCTGACCCCCGGCCGGGCGGCGGGGCGAGCGGAGCCGCCGGTTCCCGGCCCCGCTCCGCGCTCCCGGGGCCGGGGCGAGGGGGGGCGAGAGCCCGCGGCGGGCGGGCGGGCGGGGTTGGTTTTAATTTGTGTTGTTGCTGTTGGATTATTTTTCGTGTGCGTGTGTGTCTTTACAGACATGTTGGCGGAAGGCTCCGCCGCCGCGCGGGTTCTGAGCGGGGTCCGGGGGCTGCGGGGGCGGGCGGCGCGGGGGGACCCCGGCCCCGGCCCCGGGCGGGCTCTGCAGGCTGCTGGGCGCTGGGGTTATTTAAAAGAGCGAGAGGAGAGCAAGGGCAAAGTGATGCAATCCTTTAAGCATGGCTGGGAATGCTGTGTACATGATGCAATCTCGTGTAACTGTCAGTCATGGATTGAGTAATCTGTTAAAGATGTTCTTACAGTTTTTTTTATTATAAAGAATAATCTATTTCTATAAGAAAATACATATGTATATTTTGGGATCTATGCATTCTTGCTACATTTGAAGCATTAATGAACAATTTTAATAAACTTTATGACTAGGTTAAAAAAAAAAGTAGCTTGTTTTATTTTGAAGGCATGTTTAAAGTTAGATTAAACACAGGGTTGAAATTCCAGCTGATTCTGGCTCATTGCTGTGATCAGGGATAGGGATTTTTGTTGGTCTTTTAGCTTTCTCTGACTCAGAGAAAGGAAAAAAAATCAACAACCAAAACCAAAACCCTCAAGAGAAACCCAGCAAGGAGCGGAGCTGGAAGCTTTAGCCAGTTCTTGTTGCCTCATTTTATTTCCTCTAATCACTTGGTTTAGCTGCCGCTTGGGTGTTGTTTGGGGAGGAGGTGTTTGTGTTGGGGTTTTTTTTGCACTTCATGCTGTTCTGAACGTGTAGAGCAAGATGTGCTATCCAAACCATGACCAATCCTTGGCAAATAACACCAAGTCTGAAGTGGGAGGGAGGAAGAAAAAGTAAGGGAGGAAGCTTTAAATGAGTTTTTGTTTGTATTTGGGGTTTTTTTCTTTACAGAGTTTCTATTCTCTATGATTCAGCATTTCTTATGTTTGTAGTTTACAGGAATAAACATGAGAAAGTAGCATTTCTGTTGGATGTCGGTAATTTCGGTCATTGCTCAGGAAGCTCCCATGAGACCCAGCCAGGTGAGAGGCTCCTGAACAACCCCCTTCCCTTTGCTCTTGAGACATTTTTCTAAAAACTGCAGATAGAATTCTCTGATGAGGAGTGTTTGCTTCTGTGTGTGTGTGCATTTTCTGGGGGCAAGTGATGGACAAGTGGGGGGTGGCAGAGGAGGAGGAAGTTTGTTGCAGGCCAGAACTTTGTTTTGGAGAGATCCAAGGCTCTGCCTGCTGCTGAACACATCAACCCTGCTGGGGCTCCCAGCTCTGTTATTCCCCACTGTGTGCTGCCATGTCAAGGTCTGTAAGAAGTGAATAGTCTCAGGCTGGTTATGTGGAGGGAGTAGGGCAAATGATCATGTCTTACTCAGCATTTTCCATTTTCCTGTTAGGCCAAATTTAAACGTGAATTTTTTAGATCCCGATTCCCTGTGCCTGGTAAAGAAACTCCTTAACTGCCTGTGCTCTGACAGCTGAGCACAAAGAGTATAAGGACAGTGGCCTTGAATTTGCTCCTATACATTCCAATACAAACAGCAGTGGGCTGCAGGACAAATCTGCAATTTGCTGCTTGTTTCCAGTCTTTCTTTAAGCAAAACATGTTTTCTACTGAAAGAACTGTTCTGCTTTTTTTGACTCTCAAGATCAGAGCCTCCTGCGGGCCCATCAGCTGGAGCTCTCCCTGACATTTGTTACACATTCCCTGCGCCCCCAGGAGCCGTGCAGTCGTGAGCAGGGCACTGTTGGTCCTGATACAGATTTCCCCCATTTGCTTTTTGATTTGTGCAGTGCAGTTCAGCTGTTTTTATGAGACCCTAAAATAGATTTTCTTGGGTGAGCTCCTGCACCACCATGACTCAAGTCCTTGCAGGCAAGATCGACGTTAGATCTTGTCTTGACTGTCCCTCGTGACGGTGATTACTCCAGCCTCCCGTGGCTGTTTATTCTACTATTTGTATAGTTACGAAACTTATCCACATCGTTAGATCCTATTTTCTTGTTGTGCTGTAGGCCATGCAATGTTACCCAAACTTACAAACAGTGTTCCCAGTCAGAGTCCAGTGCTGTCGAGGGTGGAACTGCTGGAGGACTTAAGATGTCCTCAAATACTTTTCTTTCTTGCTCTCTTTCTTTCTTGCTTTCTCTCTTTCTTGCTTTCTTGCTTTCTCTCTTGCTTTCTTAATAACAAAGCTTCCAACAAGAGTTCAGTTTGTGGGGGCTGGAAGGCAGGGTAGATTGAAAGATAAGATGTACTGAAGGTATTTATATCTGTTTAAATAATAGTCCAGTTTTGGAGATAGAGCTCTACCAGGCATGAAGGAGCTAATCCCCATCCTTAAACTCTGCCTGCCACGGTGCAGGAGAGCCAGGGCGGTGTTGCTGCAATTTAAAGAATGATGTTTAAATTACTGCTGTATTCCAATGTATCTCCTAATTAGGATTACAGATTTCTCCTTCAGGAGGAACCTTGTGCAGCAATGATTTTTTTTGTCAGAAAGATGCAGGTACAGGCAGGAAAGTTGAGGACACGAATGCACCAATTTTACACCAGTCTCACAAGGAATTTGTGAAAGAGTCAGAAAGAGAATTCCCGAATCCTTCATTCTTAATCTTGTATTACCCTCATAACTTACATTGTAGGAGCTTTGTAGTGCGTGGAGGTCATGAAATACCCTGCTTTCTAAACCAGCATGTGAAAAAGCCCCTGCAATTAAAACATGTCCTAGAAAAAATTAGTCTCGAAAAAGTAGTTTGGAAATGAATCTGAGAAGATTCCAAGCATAAAGCAGGCAAAAGATTCCAAATACCTTTACTAATCGCAGTGGGGGAATTGGAAAATCCCTGTCCAAACAGTGGCTCAGCTCCAAATATTGATTTATTTTCCCATAACAAATAAGATTCTGCTGGCCAAGAGCAGGAGTTGGGACGTCTGGGCTGGTCTCTGACAGGGTCTCCTGAGCTGCTCTTCCCAAAGCCACTCAGGACAGCTTGTGGTAGGACTGTGCAGTCCATGTGCAGGCAAACCAGGCAGACAAGTGCAGACACCAGAGTTCTGTTTTGAGTTTTATGGAAGTTTTTAAACAGCATTTCATTTGGGCTTTTTATTTTTTTTTTCTTTCTTTTCAAATGATATCTTACACTGGCTGATTCCTACAGGTTGTTCTCATTGCTACTAAAATAACAGAGTAGAAATCAGTCTGTAAGATCAAATCCATGGCACCAACATCCCTGTTCTAAAGCACCTGGCACTGGTTTGTAAGGTGTTTGAATTCAGCTGTGCTTAGTTCTTCAGAAGGAATCATATGTAGCATTTATAAAATATATTTAAGAATACAATTATAGGTTTTTTAGTGGTTCTTCAAACTATTACTCTCTGCTTATCTGTCCAGAGTGTAACCCTGTGCAGCTCTGACACTGTGATGTTGCTTTCCCACTTTTCCCACAGCCTTCCATTGGTAACTCTTGGAAGATGCAAGAAAAATTATGTGTCTTTCCATACTAATTGTTCTTCCTCTGTGAAATAAAATCACCCAAATTGTACCCAAGGGCTATTGGATGGGAGACTTGATCATATTTGATAACAGTATGGTTTTTCCTCACTGAAATCCTGCAATAGCCCAAAATTAGAGCCAGAAAAAAGCTTTGTGCACAAAGTTTACCTTTGCAGTTGAATTGTGAGAACAACTGTCATCGATGTGGGTGTGTGTAAAAACATGAAGTTACTCTCACACTGGTTTTCAAGCAATGTTTCATTAGCTGTGACCAGAATAAAATTCAGTGCAACTCTGTATCTGCTTTAATAAAGAGAAAAGCTGTAAGGTCAAATTACATATCTTCTTTTGTTATTTATAGTGATAATGCTCAATGCCTTGCCTGTCATTCCAATGACACAAAGTGAGTCCAAAGCAGGGCTCTGCATTCAGTTTGGGCTGGATATACGTGATTATGTGGTGGATGGGGGGAATGAATTTGGAATAGAATTTTGTTCTAACTCTTTTTGCTCCCAATTTCTAATGAAAAAAAAATTACTTCTACTCTCTTGAGTGTTGGCCTTTTTCTCTTTACATCTTGCACAAATGCTGAGCAGTCAGAATTTTAGGGTGAACCTTGTATACTAATGTGGAGTGTGAAAAAAAAAATTAAACATATGCCTGGATATTGAAAGGGTCCTAATATGTTAAATAAGAAATTGAAACAGAACTAGGAATATACTTACTACTCCCAAAGAAACAATTACGTTCAAATTCGGGACACTTTTTTCAATCAATCAATCAATCAAGTAAAAATAAAGCGATGTGGTCAAACCATTAAACTTGTGAGGGAATTAGTTCTCTTTTGAGAGACACTCACTGAACAAACAAGTGAAATCATTAAGAATTAAGTTCTATTTAACTCTTTGCTGGGACCCAAACATAGTCTGAGAGTTTAATATTTGCAACCTAAAACTAAACTTTGGTAGAAACTCTATATGCTGAGGATTTCTGAGGTCCCTGACTCTGATATGCTTTGTTTGATCCACTGGAAATTGGAAACTCAAAAATGCCTTTTGTGGTCATTTCCCCACCTGCTCAATCTGCTCAATTGTTCAGATGTTTTGTTTTGAATGAAAGGCTTTTCTGCCCTCCAAGAAACGCTGCTGGTCAGATCTGCCTGGATGTGAAAACCAAGAGGGGAGAATTCACGACGAGGATAAATGAGTTAGCAGTCGGTGAAAATAATTGATTTGCACTTACAATAGAGACACATTTAGTTCCAAACCTTCCAACTGGGTGCCATGATTTCACAAAGCAGTGCCAAATTTAACTCTCACTTGTTATAAATAAAAAAATTATTAATTTGCTATGGAAATTATTCATATAATAAATAATAATAAATTCCAATAATATTTTCTAGCTAATTAAATGT